GCTGTACAGAAGCTTTTCAGCTTAGTATAGTCCCACTTGTTCATTTTTGCTGTTGTTTTCCTAGCCTGGGGAGATATGTTCAAGAAGAGGTCACTCATGTTTATGTCTAAGAGGTTTTTGCCTATGTTTTTTTCTAAGAGTTTTATGGTTTCATTACTTACATTCAAGTCTTTTATCCATTTCAAATTTACTTTTGTGTATGGGGTTATACAGTGATCCAGTTTCATTCTCTTACATGTAGCTGTCCATTTTTGCCAGCACCATCTGTTGAAGAGCCTGTCATTTCCCCATTGTGTGTCCATGGCCCCTTTATCGAATATTAGTTGACCATATATGTCTGGGTTAATGTTTGGAGTCTCTATTCTGTTTCATTAGTCTGTGGCTCTGTTCTTGTGCCAGTACCAAATTGTCTTGATTACTGTGGCTTTGTAGTAGATCTTGAAGTTGGGGAGTGAGATTCCCCCCACTTTATTCTTCCTTCTCAGGATTGCTTTAGCTGTTTGGGGTCTTTGGTGTTTCCATATTTATTTTTGAACTATTTGTTCCAGTTCATTGAAGAATGCTGTTGGTAGTTTGATAGGTATTGAATCAAATCTGTATACTGCTTTGGGCAGGATGGCCATTTTGATGATATTAATTCTTCCTAGCCAGGAGCATGGAATGAGTTTCCATTTGTTAGTGACCTCTTTAATTTCTCTTAAGAGTGTCATATAGTTTTCAGGGTATAGGTCTTTCACTTCCTTGGTTAGATTTATTCCTAGGTATTTTATTCTTTTTGATGCTATTGTGAATGGAATTTTCTTCCTGATTTCTCTTTCTATTAGTTTATTGTTAGTGTATAGGAAAGCCACAGATTTCTGTGTGTTAATTTTGTATCCTGCAACTTTGCTGAATTTCGATATTAGCTCTATTAGTTTTGGAGTGGATTTTTTAGGGTTTTTTATGTACAATATCATGTCATCTGCAAATAGTGACAGTTTAACTTCTTCTTTACCAATCTGGATTCCTTGTATTTCTTTGTTTTGTCTAATTGCCATGTCTAGGACCTCCAGTACTATGTTGAATAACAGTGGGGAGAGTGGGCATCCCTGTCTTGTTCTCGATCGCAGAGGAAAAGCTTTCACCTTCTCGCTGTTCAGTATAATGTTGGCTGTGGGTTTATCGTCTATGGCCTTTATTTTGTTGAGGTACTTGCCCTCCTTACCCATTTTGCTGAGAGTTTTTATCATGAATGTATGTTGAATTTTGTCGAATGCTTTTTCAGCATCTATGGAGATGATCATGTGGATTTTGTCTTTCTTTTTGTTGATGTGGTGGATGATGTTGATGGATTTTCAAATGTTATGCCTTTCTTGCATCCCTGGGATGAATGCCACTTGGTTGTGGTGTATGATCCTTTTGATATATTTTTGAATTTGATGTCCTAATATTTTATTGAGTATTTTTGTATCTACGTTTATCAGGGATATTGGTCTGTAGTTTTCTTTTTTTGTGGGGTCTTTGCCTGCGTTTGGTGTTAGGGTGATGTTAGCTTCATAGAATGAGTTTGGGAGTATTCCCTCCTCTTCTGTTTTTTGGAAATCTTTAAGGAGAATGGGTATTATATCTTTTCTGTATGTCTGATAAAATTCCAAGGTTAATCCATCTGGCCCAGGTGTTTTGTTCTTGGGTAGTTTTTTGATTACCAATTCAATTTCTTTGCTGGTAATTGGTTTGTTTAGATTTTGTGTTTCTTCCTTGGTCAGTCTTGGAAGGTTGTGTTTTTCTAGGAAGTTGTCCATTTTTTCTAGGTTTTCCAGCTTCTTAGCATATATATTTTCATAGTATTCTCTAGTAATTCTTTGTATTTCTGTCGGGTCTGTTGTGATGTTTCCTTTCTCATTTCTGATTCTGTTGATGTGTGTTGATTCTCTTTTTCTCTTAACATATCTGTTTAGAGGCTTATCTATTTTGTTTATTTTCTCGAAGCTCTTAGTTTCATTGATTTCTTTCTATTGTTTTATTCTTCTCAATTTTATTTATTTCTTCTCTGATCATTATTATGTCCTGTCTGCTGACCTTAGGCCTCATTTGTTCTTCTTTTTCCAATTTTGATATTTGTGTCATTAAACTATTCATTTGGGATTTTTCTTCCTTCTTTAAATATGCCTGGATAAGTATATACTTTCCTCTTAAGACTGCTTTCGCTGCATCGCACAGCAGTTGGCACTTTGTGTTGTTGTCATTTATTTCCATATATTGCTGGAACTCCATTTTTATTTGATTGTTGATCCATTGACTATTTGGAAGTGTGTTGTTAAGCCTCCATGTGTTTGTGAGCCTTTTTGCTTTCTTGGTACAATTTATTTCTAGTTTTATACCTTTGTGGTCTGAAAAGTTGGTTGGCAGGATTTCAATTTTTTGGAATTTTCTGTGGCCTAGTATGTGGTCTATTCTGGAGAATGTTCCATGTGCACTTGAGAAGAATGTGTAGCCTGTTGCTTTTGGTTATAGAGTTCTATAGATGTCTATTAGGTCCATCTGTTCTAGAGTGTTGTTCAGTGCCTCTGTGTCCTTACTTATTTTCTGTCTAGTGGATCTGTCCTTTGGAGTGAATGGTGTTTTGAAGTCTTCTAAAATGAATGCGTTGCAGTCTATTTCCTCCTTTAATTCTGTTAGTATTTATTTCACATATGTTGGTGTCCCTGTGTTGGGTGCATATATATTTATAATGGTTATATCCTCTTGTTGGACTGCACCCTTTATCATTATGTAATGTCCGTCTTTATCTTTTGTTACTTTCTTTGTTTTGAAGTCTATTTTGTCTGATAGTAGTACTGGAACACCTGCTTTTTTCGCCCTATTGTTTGCATGAAATATCTTTTTCCATCCCTTGACTTTTAGTCTGTGGATGTCTTTGGGTTTGAGTTGAGTCTCTTGTAAGCAGCATATAGATGGTTCTTGTTTTTTTATCCGTTCAGTGACTCTATATCTTTTGATTGGTGCATTCAGTCCATTTACATTTAGGGTGATTATCGATAGGTATGTACTTATTCCCATTTCAGGCTTTAGATTCATGGTACCCAAGGTTTCCAAGTTACTTTCCTTACTGTCTAAGAGTCTAACTTAATTCACTTAGTATGGTGTTACAAACACAATCTAAAAGTTCTGTTCTATTTCTCCTCCTTTTTCTTTCTCCTTCATTCTTTATATCTTAGGTATCAGATTCTATACTTTTTCTCTATCCATTGATTGGATTTGGGGATAGTCAATTTAGTTTTGCATTTGCCTGGCAATCAGCTGCTCCACCCTCCCTACCATGATTTTACTACCTCTGGTGACAGCTATCCAACCCTAGGAACACTTCCATATATAGCAGTCCCTCCAAAATAGACGGCAGAGATAGTTTGTGGGAGGTAAACTCTCTCAGCTTTTGCTTATCTGGAAATTGTTTAATCCCTCCTTCAAATTTAAATGATAATCTCACCAGATAAAGTAATTTTGGTTCCAGGCCCTTCTGCTTCATGGCATTAAATACATCATGCCACTCCCTTCTGGCCTGTAAGGTTTCTGCTGAGAAGTCTGTTGTTATTCTGATGGGCTTTCCTTTGTATGTGATCTTATTTCTGCCTCTGGCTGCTTTTAACAGTGTGTCCTTATCCTTGATCTTTCCCATTTTAATTACTGTGTGTCTTGGTGTTTTCTTCCTTGGGTTCCTTGTGTAGGGGGATCTTTGGATCTCCATGGCCTGAGAGACTATGTCCTTCCCCAGATTGGGGAAGTTTTCAGCAACTACCTCCTCAAAGACACTTTCTATCCCTTTTTCTCTCTTTTCTTCTTTCTGGTATCCCAATAATGTGAATATTGTTCCGCTTGGATTCGTCACACAGTTCTCTCAATATTCTTTCATTTTTAGAGATCCTTTTTTCTCTCTGTGCCTCAGCTTCTTTGTATTCCTTTTCTCTAGTTTCTATTTCATTTATTATCTCCTCCACCATATCCAGCCTATTTTTAATACCCTCCATCATATTCTTTAATGATTGGATCTCTGACCTGGATTCATTCCTTAGTTCTTGGATGTCTTTTCATACCTCCATTAGGATGTTGATGATTTTTATTTTGAACCCCCTTTCAGGAAGAGTCACAAGGTCCATATCATTTAAATCTTTCTCGGGAGTTGTATTAACAATTTTCCTCTGGACAAGGTTCCTTTGGCATTTCATGTTTGTATGTGGCTCCCTCTAGTGACCAGTAGTTCTATTCTGGAGCTGCTGAGCCCTGAAGCAGTGTCAGGTGTTGTAGGGGAGCAGTGGGGAGCGGTTCTGGGGGTAGTAAAGAGCTGTTCCCGCCTCCTGGCTGCTGTGCCTATCTCCACTTCCTGAGCCAGTGGGCCGGGCACGCAGGTATAAGTTTTTGTCCCAGAGCAGCCAGATATGTATCCCTGCTTTCCACTAGCAGCTGGAATCCCAGTCTCCCCAGGAACTCTGCCTGTATTAACTTTCCAACCTGATAGTCATGCTAGTCTTATGAAAGCACAATGAAATGTAGGTTTGTGCTCCCAGCGCAGCTCTCCAGAGCTAGGTATTCAGCAGTCCCAGGCCTTCCACTCCCTCCCTGCTCCATTTCTCTTCCTCCTGCAGGTGAACTGGGGTGGGGGAGAGGCTCGGGTCCCGCAGAGCCACAGCTCTGGTACGTTATTCCGTTTGCTGAGGTCTGCTCTTTTCTCCAGGTGTGTGCAGTCTGAAGCATCCTCTTTCCTGTTGCTCTCTCAGGATTAGTTGCACCAATTAAATTTTCTAATTGTATCCAGTTTTAGGAGGAAGCCTCTGTCTCTCCTATCACCCTGCCATCTTTAATCCTCCTCTATAGTTTATTTTTATTCTACTTCTATTGTTATCTTCCCACCTCTTGTAGGTGGTTGAAATTGTAGTTGACTTAAACTCTAATATCACACAATATATAAAATAAATACTTTTTGAGGTTGACAAGATAGAGTTACTATGGGAAATATTCTTGTTTAGGGACAAGAAGAAAAAACAAAAAGGGAAGTAGCTGTCTTACAACCTACTCTTGTTTCACAGCTGTTGGTTGAGAAGCAGTTAGCTTAAGTTCTCAGACCCCTCCAAGACGTATCTCAGATGACATCATCTATCTGTGATTCTGTTTTCTTGTCAACACAGAATAGTGATGAATCTTGCTGCTTTAAATTTATACTTAGCAAATTAAATTTTTGTCTCCTTTTCTCATTAGTAATTTGTGGTAAAGTATCTCACAGGATTTTATTATGAAAATTTAGTGACATATTTTAGGTATTGTCTGGAATTTAGGTATTACACATGGTAAATAATAAATATTAGTTACTTTAACTCTGCAAGATATTTTTTTCTGTTTTAACCAACAACAAATGAGAAAGATGGATATACAGAGCCTTTGGCCTCACTGAAATGGTCTGAGGATTTTAAGTTCAAGACTACAATTTTAGGTCCTACCACCCATACTACTCCTCTTTGTTTTCCTCCTTTAGCTTCTTTTATGTAGTGTGTGTAAGTGACTTTCTATGCATGTTTGTACAGCAGCTGTCACTGGGGACCATTGGATCCTATGCTTTTTGAGGTATTTAACTAAGGCACTTCTTTGCTGGGTAAGCAGTTCCCCATGGTCTCAACTAAGGTGTAAAAATTAGTTTTGCAATATAAATATCACAGTCTTTAACTGCTCAAGAATCTGGCTTGAAAGAAAATTAAATTCAGAGCAAGAAATTGACACTTTTGACTATCTCTTAACTTACTAGGTTTTTAAAAACAACTCCAGATTTTTTTAAAACTGGAAAGGACATCAGTTCATAGAATCGTAGATTTGGAAGAGACCTTAGAGACAATATACAGATAAGGAGAAAGGTCCAGAAAGAGCTAGCGACATTCCTAAGATCACATAGCTATTCTACAGCACAGACTAGATTCAGTATTCCCTGCTCTCCAATGTGAACTTTTTCTAACCTTTAATTCATTTAAAAAAAAGGATAAATTTAAGTCCAGATAATTCATTCCTCTATCAGTGCTCATTAGCCACTTACTTCCATTTTCCTTCTATCATCTTATTCCTGTCTCTTGAGTTGGGTTATTTAACTAATAAAATTTGGCTAATTATCAAGTTCGGCAGGACTGTAGAGATTACTTGTTTGCCACTTTTAATTTTTGGCTTATTTTTCTTTTCTGACAGAGTCTATGAGAAAACGCATTCTGTGTGGTCTTTCTTGGTTCAGAGGAAACCAGACTTCAGTAATCCTCTCTATAAAGGCAACACTATGTATGGGGTGCTCAGTTCCAGTACTGTGCCATACAACATTCAGTAAGTTCCTAAACTGTCCCTTCCTTTCTTACAACAGGCCCCATGGCCTCAGCTGCTTTGCCTCTCTTTGTACAGCTGCCATCATCTGCACAAGCTATGAAATAGGATACTCTCTTCCCAGATGACCCATTCCTTGCTGCCTCTGAAAATAATACCACACTTGTTTTGGTTTTCAGGGCTTTGCTGTTACTTGCTTAGGGAAATAAACAAGAAATAATAATTGATTTGTACAGATACCACCAGTCAGAATGTAGGTTATTTCATTGCTTTTAGTCTTCCCCCGTATCTTCCTCTTCTTCCCCATCCTTTTCCCCAAAAAGGAAAAGAAAAAAACAGAGAAATAGGAAGTGCTGGTATTGTTTGCTCAACTTTTCCAAAAATATATAAAGTACAGGCCACTGTGCTTACTGATCACAACTGAATTAGTGCAAGACAGAGATGAATGTATTTGTTAGCTCTAATAGTTCATTTTATGTATTCCCTAGGATTTTGTATATGTAAGATCACATAATTTCTGAATAGAAATTTAGCAAATAATGTTTTCTGAATAGTTTTACTACTTCTTTCCAATTTGGATGCCTTTTCTTGCATAATTACCCTGTCTAGAATAGACATAGTGAAAGCGGGCATCCTTGTCCTGTTCCTGATCTTAGGGGAAAGCTTTCAGTCTTTTTACACTGAGTATGATGTTGCAGTTTTTCTTTTTGCAAATGACCTTTATCATGTTTAGGATATTCCCTTCTGTCCCTAGTTTGTTGAGTGTTTTTGTGAAGAAAGACCATTAAATTATGTCAAATGTTTTTCTGCATCCTGTCAAGATGCAGATAATTATGTTATTTTTTCCTTAATTGTATTAATATGGTGTATTACACTGATTTATTTTCATATGTTGAGCCACTCATGCTTTCCTAGGATGAATCTCATTTGGTCATGGTATATAATCCTCTTATATGCCACTGCATTCAGTTGGCTAGTAGACTGCTGAGGATTTTTACATGTATATTCATGAAGAAGATTGATCTGTAGTTTGGTTTTCTTGTAATGTCCTTGTCTGGCTTTGGTATAGGGTAATAGTGACCATATAGAATGAGTTGGGAAGTATTTCTTCTTTTATTTTTTGGAAGACCTTGAGAAAAATTATTAATTTTTATTGAAATGTTTAGTAGAATTCACCAGTGAAGCCATCTGGTACTGGACTTTTCTTTCTTGGAAGTTTTTGATTACTGAATCAATGTCCTTGTAATAGGTCTGTTTAAATTATTAAATTTCTTTTGATTCAGTTTTGGTATATTTTGTATTTCTAGAAATTTGTCTATTTCATCTGTAATTTGTTATCATGCAGTTGTGTTTGGTATTCTTTCATAATCTCCCCTATTTCTGTAAGGTCAGAGGTAATGTCCTCACTTTCATTTGATTTTAGTAATTATCTTTTTTCTTTTTCTTTTTTAGACCAAAATATCTTCCTTTAATATCAAAAGCATACTGTACATGAGGTGGTAATACACATTAAATGACACTTTTTGATGGTTTTTAGGGATTCTTGGCACTTTTTTCCAGCTTTATTGCAATATAATTAACATGAAATTATATAAATTCAAGGTAAACATGATGATTTTATACATGTATATATGGTGAAATGTTTACCAGAAAAGAGTAGTTAACAAATCCTTTACCTCACATAATTACCATTTTGTTGTTGTTATGGTGAAAATATTAAAGCTTTACTCTTAGTAAAATATGGAGTGATTCACAAATTTGTATGGTATCCTCTCACAGAGGCCGTGCTAATCTTCCTTGTATCATTACAGTTTTATTATGTATGCTGTCAATGTGAGCACTCTTTTTCTTAATCAGTGTAGCTTAAAGGTTTGTTGGATGTGTTAATCTCTACAAAGAACCAACTTTAGTTTTTTGTTGATTTCTCTATTTTTTCTAGTTTTTATTTCATATAACTCTGTTCTAATCTTTATTATTTCCTCCCTCTGCTACCTTTGAGTTTAATTGCTCTTCTTGTTTAATTCCATTTGATTTGAAGTTTGATTATTTATTTAAAATCTTTCTTCCTTTTTAACATATGCATTTACAGCACAGCACTGCTTTCTCTATATACCATAAGTTTTAGTTTGTTGCATTTTTGTTTTCATTCATCCTGAAGTATTTTTTAAATTCCTTTATGACTTTTTCTTTGACTCATTGGTTGTTTAAGAGCATGTTGTTTAATTTCCACATTTTTGTGAATTCTGTAGTTTTCCTTCTATTATTGAAAGTGATTTCAAATTTCATTCCATTGTCAGAGAATATACTTAGTATGATTTCAGTGTTTTTAAATTTATTAAGACTTGTTTTATGGCTTAACATGTTTGTCCTGTAGAATGATCTCTATTTTGAGAATGATGTGTATCATTTGAGAAAAAGATGTATTCTGTTATTGTTATGTAGAGTGTTCTATATATATTTTATGTTCTACTTGGTATGAAATGTTCAAGTCCCATCTTTTCTTACTGATCTGCTGTCTCACTGTTTTTATCATTATAGAAAATGGGATATTGAAGTCTCCAGCTATTACTATAAAACTGTCTTTAATTCCATACCTGTTTGCTCCATATGTTTTGGGCTTTATTGTTAGGTACGTATTTGTTTATAATTAATTACATATTCTTGATGGATTGACCGTTTTACAAATACATGATGTCCTTCTTTGTCTCTTGTAACAATTTTTGGATTAAAGATTATTTTGTTTTTATTAGCATAGCCATACCAGCTCTCTTTTGGTTACTATGTGCATGGAATATCTTTCTCTGCCTATTCAGTTTTTTTTACTTTGAATATAAAGTGAATTCAGCATATAGTTAAACCACATTTTTAATCCATTTTGCCAACTTTTGCCTTTTAATTAGATAATTTAGTCCATTTATATTTAAAATAATTATAAGGAAGGACTTCTGTCACTTTGCTATTTATTTTCTATATATACATATATATGTTTTATTCTCTAATTTCTCTATTACAACTTTCTTTTATGTTAAATTGAGTTTTTAAATGTATCATTTTGATTCCTTTCTCCTTTCCTTTTTGTATATTTTTTAGTTATTTTCTTAGTGGTTATCCTGAGAATTACAATTAACATCTTAAATCCATATCACTCTTGTTTCAATTAATACCAATTTTGCTTTAAAGCTGCTCCTGTATAGCTCCATTTCTCTATGTTATTGTTGTCAAAAATTACATCTCATGCATCATATGCCCATCAATATAGACATATAATTACTATTTTAAAAAAAGTTTAAGCAGGAAAAGGAACTATAAACCAAAAATGCAATAATGTTGGCTTTTATATTTACCTAATTAGCTACCTTTAATGGTATTCTTTATTTCTTTGTATGGCTTAGAATTAGTATAAAGTGTCTTTTCATTTCATATCTTTTAGTTTTTCTTGTAGCACAGGTCTACTAATGATTAACCCCTTCAGTTCATATATATGTATATTACATATATGTATATATATGTACGTATGTATCTAAGTGTAGATTTCTTTGAATTCATCCTACTTGTAGTTTATTGAGTTTTTAGATGCATAGATTCATATCATTCATCAAATTTAGGATATTTTTGGCCACTGTGTCTTCAGATACTCTTTCTGCCCCTTTCTATCTCTTCTATCCTTCTGGGACTACCATATTGTATATGTTGGTATGCTTGATGGTCTTCCACAGATCCCTTAGACTTCACTTTTCATTGTTGTTATTTCTTTCTGCTCCTTAGAATGGGTAATCTTAATGGGCCTATCTTCAAGTTAATTAATTTATTCTTCTGCCTGCTCAAATATGTTATGGAATCTGTCTAATGAATTTTTCATTTCATTTATTATACTTTTCATTTCCAATATTTCTGTTTGGTTTCTTTTTATAATGTCTTTATTGATGCTTTTTCTTTGGTGAGATTTCTTTCTTTGGGATTCCTTTAGTTCTTTGAGCATATTTAAAATGACTGAAGAACAATGCCTGGGCTTTACAGTTTCTTAAACTATTTCTGTTAGTTTCTTTCTTTCCTGTGAGTGGGCCATACTTTCTTATTTCTTTTCATGCCTCATAATTTTTTGTAGAAAACTGGAAAATTTGAATATTATAATTCTGGAAATAAGATTCTACCCCCCCCTTTAGGACTTTTTGTTCTTGCTGCTTGTGTTTGATTAATGACTTTTATAAACTATTTTTGTCAAGACTATATTCTTTGTCATGTGTGGTGACTGAATTGTCTTTCTATTATTAGCTTAGTAGTCAGCTAGTGATTTGATAGATTAGCTTAAATGTCAAAAAAATAAAAATAAAGTTTCATGTCTTTGCAGATTCACTTTATGTTGATGTATATTTTCAGTGTTTAGCCAGGCCATTTAAAATTCTCTTACCTTCACTTCCCACTTGTACTTAGCTTAAAAGTCAGTCACAAGTGAAAGCTTAGAGTCTTATCAGGTCTTTTCTGAGGATGTGTCCAGCTCTGGATATGTACTTGACCTCTTATATTCCCTGGTATATACAAGAGCTTTTCAGTGCTCTTATTTTCCTATGTATCTCCTTGCCAAGCTTCTTCTTTTCCAGATTTTTCATTCTGTTTGCTACTTGCCCTAGAAGGCTATGCTAGTACATTTGCCTTTAAATTATTTCAACATTGTCCAGAGGACACTCTAGCTCAGAGAAAGTTCCAAGACGGGAAAACAAGCCCCTGACTCCAACCCTTGATACACTATCAGGGAGGTCTAAATATACAATCACTATATTTTTTGAACAATGTCTGTACTGCCCCTTCTGGCAATTTTTTTCTTACCACCTTTTGCAACTTAAACTGATGTCCTAGCCAGAGCCTTAAGGTAGGAAAAATAAATTAAACAATCATAGAAATTGGAAAGAAAGATATGAAACTCTTTGATTTATAGATGACATGACAGTTTATATAGATAATCCCAAATAATCTAATAAAAATTTTTAAAGCTCTTAAAACTAATA